TAGCATTTTTTCTGCCTTGCCTCTCTGACGTTGATGGGTATTGGTGCCCCAGTCTTAGACTGGTATAGATCCTTGTAGAAATTGCTGGATATCTCCAGCATCCCTTCACTATCTGATTTCACGGTTTCAGGAGCTGCGTGTGACCTCATACCTTCTATCGTGCCAGCTCTCGAATTGGCTTTAATTCGGGCAAAGAAGTGTTTAGTCATTGAGTCACTGAGTTCGTGCTCACACATTCTTGCTCTTATTTGAAGGCCTTTCAGATCCCACCATTTCCACATGGCCAATTCCTCTCGGGCCTTGTCGAAAATCTCGATATATAGTTGAGAGGCGGGATTGTCAGGTTAGATTCTTCTATTTTCAGTGCAAATTCTAATGATTGTTTTCTTTGTTTCCTTATCGACGCTAGCTTCCTAGAAACTTTGGCCACGGTGTCCGAAAGGATCGTAGCTCTTCTGAAACCATTCCCATTGAGGAACAGTGCTTAGGCGTACCGACCTCAACCCTTGCCAGCAGTCGCAAACTTCACTTTGGGAAGTTTGGCTCAGCAGGAGGGAGTTGTTTAGTTTGTGGAAGCTGGCTCCCTTTGTAACCACTTGGTCAAAGCATATGACCAGTTCAGTTGGTTTGTGATCCAGCCCAGAATATGGAGCCAACGGTAACACTTCAGCTTCCTTGACTACCCCCATAATGACTTTGGACACTAGAAAGTAGTCTATTCGTGAAAAGGCCATATGGTTAGCATGTTTTTTCTTGACTAAGGTGAAGGTTCTCTTGGTGGGGTGTAGGATTCTATGGGGATCTACCAGGTTGTGGTTCAACATCATTTCCTGGATTGGTGTTGCTTCTGATAAATTTGGGGTGCTGGAGGATCAAGAAATACGGTCCACTGATGGGTCTATTGTAGCATTCCAATCTCCTGCCATAATACATGGGGTAAGTGGGGGAATCAGGTCTCCGATTCTGCTGAGATTTCTAAGTTGTGTGTGTGCAAGGAACCCGACTGTTCATCATTTGCTGGAGTGCATCAGATCAAATGCATATACACTGATTTCACAGTTTGCGAAGTCTCACACAAAACCCGATAGAAGATGAATGAGAACCAGGAAGATCAACTCAATTATCAAACCCAGAATTAGAGAGAGAACATCGTGAGTTCAAAGTGTATAGCGCTGAACAGAGATTACAAGTCTTCTTCGATCAACAYGAGTTCCAAGCCTGGCGCTCRTCAGCGCCAGCTGYCAAATGTCAACAACAGCGCTCAACAGGTAAGTGTCACCATAGCTCASACTTYCCCCTCTCTCGTCTGCCTTCTTCTCTCTCTCCCTCTATGTCTATAGTCCTGGTCTACCCTCACTCATCATGCATGCACACTCCCTATCACATGAGGATCTACTCTGAATACTACTCACTGGTATCTCCTACTGACTATCCCTACTAACATACTAACTAGCGCTGGCGCAGCTATGGCTTCCTTCCCTCTAGCCAGCACTCTCTTCCTTCCCACATAGCGCTGGTCTTCAGCCTAGCGCACAAGTGCCACGGCACTTCCACACTCTCATGCGAAGTGAGCATCTGTCCAAATGGGAGGCTGGACAGTCCTTTATAGTGCTGGACTGGTCTGGTGTGGCCTGCGTTCAGCCTCAAGTGTCCCAGCGACTCCTGCCCAGTACCCATTGTTGCAAAGTGTGTGTCCCAGTATCTTTTCCCATGGTCTGCTGCTGCTTTGGGCCATCGTCCTGTCTTTTGGACTCCTGGTCTGAATCAGGACTGCTCTCGTGGGAGTATGACTGAACTGGGACTGTAGCCTTTGACTTATTGCCGAACAGACATGACTTTTCATCGAGGAGACATGACCCTAACTCAGTCTTGAAAACTATGTCCGATACCTGTTCGTGCAGGACCTGTTTGTGACTGTTCGAAACGACTTTTCATTTCATTATGGATGCGACATATGCCTCAGGGAACTTTGTCTTTTAGGTTGCTGCTCGTGAATTTAAGTTCTGGCCGACAGGGCCCCTCACTGTTGGGGTGTTCTTCTGGGGTCTAATTTGTAAAAGGCCCTTTTATGCGTGTGTGATTGCTGAGTTTCCGCATGTTAGCCTGTCTGCATGATCGCATGGGTGTGTGTATGACCCATTCGGGTACTCGTGTGCCGGGAAGGCCCATGAACCTGGTACTTGCCTGTGGCTATGTTGTTGTACGGGCGCAGCGGGGCCAGTAGTGTAGGGAAGGCCCGCAAAGGCCGGAAACAGGCGCAGGTAGGTAGACAGAAGAACGAAAAAAGTTAGTACCGGTCCAAGCAGCCTGAGTCAATAGCCAGCAGGTGGGCTATCAGACTGCAATGATATTTCCCTCCGAAAAGGAGAGGGACCTGGCAGACTTTGCACGAGGAGGCACTTCGCTGGTATATCAGACCAGGAGGCTGCTTGCGTGGAGCTTGGAGGCACGCTGCTGGAGCGCCCACTCAACTGAGGCAGCGCTGCCGGAGGAGGCAGAAGGTGGCCCCTGGGCTCCCCCTCGACTATACGCTGGAAGCGCTCAGGGAGGAAGGCAGCTAGCAGGGGGGGGGGACGAGGAGGTGGAGGAAGACGGTGTCCGAGTAGGAGAGTGACGGGGGAGCTTACCTGGCTATGGTGGTCTGCATCTTCATCTTATTGGTTGGCGCTGCACCTGTAAGGCCCCACCTAGGGTTGGCATCTACAAGGAAGACTCCGGTGCAGCAGAGGGGAGTGGCGGACATGATCGGAGCAGCAAGGCTGCTTTGCGTTGTCCTTCGAACGTCGGGGTTGGACCCAATAGTCCACCATAGCCACCGACACACATAGGAGAGAGAGAGGAGGTGTAGAGTGACCAGCAGTAAGGGGAGGATTCAGACATAGGTTTTGGTTCATTTCTTTCATTTTGGTTCATTTCTTTCATTTTGGTTCATTTCTTTCATTGTTATTATTGTTATTAACTTATTATTGTTAATGAGAGGTTGGGGGAGTAATTGGAGGATGAAGATGGTGGTGTGATGAAGGGGGGTTGACATTGGTCCTGCTGGTGTTCATCTTCTTCTTCTTCTTCTTTCGTTTTTCTTCTTCCTTTGTCTATTTCACTTTCCAAGTTCTTTCATTTCAGTCCCAATTGAACAGCATTGCGGTTCTTTGAGTTTCTGGACAGCAAGATAGTCAGGATCGTAACATGAGTCTCTCTGTACTGTCACGATTTCCTGACACCACTCACTGTATCAGACATTCGAGGACACAATGGTGTCCTTCATCGAAGTTCATAAAATTGTGAAATCATGAACTTCGAGTGCGCATTGTGTCCTCGAATGTATACAATCTAATTTTCGGGTCTGGACTTTGAGGGCGCATTGTGTCCTCGAATGTATCCAAGCCGGGGCTGGGCCAGCAAATGGCAGGCTCAGCTTGCACCGTCCAACCAGGGCCTGACCGGCCCAGGGGGGTGAACCCGGAAATCAGTTAAAAAAAAAAGAAAGCCCCGCTCTCCGAGATCTGTTGGAATTTGCAATAAAACTTGGGAACAATTTCTTTTGGGGGGTGTTTTTTTTTTGGGGGGGGGGGAAGGGGGGGTTGGGTTTGTGGGAGGGGCCTCTCTCTCTCTGTGTGAAAAAAGGAGCACTCTCTCTCTCTCTCTCTCTCTCTCTCTCTCTCTCTCTCTCTCTCTCTCTCTCTCTCTCTCTCGCTCGCTCGCTCTCTCTCCAAGTGTGCAGGTCCACGTGCACAGAATAATAGAAAAGGGAGAAGACGAAGAAAAGGTGATGAGGAAGAAGAAAAAGAGTAGGAGAGAAGAGGACGAGGTGAGGAAGAAGACGAGAAGGTTGAGGACGAGAAGGAAGAAGAGAGGAGGAAGGAGACGAAGAAGAGTGAGGGGGAGAACAGACGAAGAGGAGTGAAAGAAGTCCAAGAAGAAGAGGAGAAGAGAAGACGACGAGTGGACGACGAGTAGTAGTAGTAGTAGTAGTAGTAGGAGGAGGAGGAGGAGGAGGAGGAGAAGAGGAGGGGGAGAACAGACAACGAGGATTGAAAGAAGTCCAAAAAGAAGAGGAGGAGGAGAAGAGGAGAAGACGAGTGAACGACGAGTGGAAGAAGAAGAGGAGGAAGGAGGAGGAAGGAGGAGGAAGGGGGAGGAGACGGAGAATAAGGGGGAGGAGGAGGAGGAGGAGAGGAGGAGGAAGAAGAAAAAGAGGACGAGAGACGAAGAGGACGAGGTGAGGAAGAAGAAGAAGGGGAAGAAGAAGAAAGGGATTCATGACAGGGATTGTCTATAGAGTCAGAGCCGACATGCATTAGGCAAGCTCGTGGAAGTTTGAATGGTGCGGCAAGGCTATAGGTTCAAACAGTACCAACACCTTAAGAACATTGGGGTTCACTTTTTCAGGAGAAAGCTCTCTTCGGTTCTCCTTTTCTCCTCTTTGTTATAGGGGAAGGGGGGGCATTTCTGACAGTCATCCCATTAGCATCAATACGTACACCACCCCATTCACACTGAATGCAGCAGAACGCAGCACAGGAGGAGAAGGTGGCCGAGGAGGAGAGCGGGTGGGGGAGCGGGACGGATAAGAGGTGGCAGAGGCCAAGGGGGAGGAGGAGGGGGAAGACGCAGAGGCGGTGGGGAAGACAGGAGAGAGGAGAGGTGGTGGACGAAGACAGGGATGCGGAGGTGTGCATCCGTTGCGGGCAACCCCTTGTATAATAATAAGCGATAACTCGCAACTGCATAGTTTACCCTTTCCATTGGCCATAGAAACTCGACAGAGCTCTGCAAAATAAGTTCTTGTCTATGGCGCGGTTTGTGAAACAGAGAAATTATTGTCTATGGTGTGGTTTGTTGGCGTGGTTTGTGAAACAGAGAATTTTTTGTCTATGGTGTGGTTTGTGAAACAGACTTCTCTAATCCACTTTCTTGCTTGATTTTGCAGTCCTGAACAATTCTGTACTATTTTCTGCCACAGTCACCAAGCATGTCTTCCAATGGAACTTTGTTCTCACCTGTAGAAACTCTCCCGCCATAGCACATCTCCTCTGCTGCTCTCCCTCCTAGTAGAGTCACAAGGTGACCCCTCATCTCATCCACAAACATCAAGCACCTGTCCTCCTTCGCAGGAGGTATGTACGTGAATCCCAGAGCGCCACCTGTCCTTGGGATAATACTCAGCTTCTGCAGATTTCCGAGTGAGCAGCCATTTCCGATACACCGTGAGTTAGGGTATGAGACATCACAATCACATAGATGCATACGGCAACAAAACAACAGAGCCCGCACTATTTGCATTCATCTGACGCCTAGACATCATCTGAAGATGCATCCACCGAGATTTTTCACATAACAACTACCATCTTCACCCAGGGATAGGCGTTATGTTAGTTTATAACACCCGGCATTGTCTTCGTAAATTGGTTGTCATCCTTGCGCAGGGGGCATGCTAACCTTCTCTGCATTGTTCCAGCTTTAACAGATGTCCCAAAGGACATTGGTCGCAATTTCAGTGAGGCTGTATGGTCGGGGGTTTGGGGGGCGGGGTGGGGGGATGGAAATCAAAAGGTTGTGCCAAAGAAAAAGATGTGTAGGGAAGGATTCCAGATTCACGCCTACCACCACTCGGATAGTGTGGTGGTCCACAACACACCAGCACCTGTGCCCCACACCATCTTGATTTTTCAATTGATGTCGGCATTTGCCTGAACATCGACTGCAGGAGAGAGGCAAGCTAACTACCGCCATCGCCAGCCGGCAAGGGCAGGCAGCCCCCAGATGTGCACATGTGTCCCTTGAGTCCACAAACGTGAGAAGAAGAGACCATCGGCCATACCACCCCAAGTGCGCATCTTCCAACAACCGCCATGAACTGATGGAAGGAGATAAATTCCCACAAAGAAGCATGTCATCTGATGAAGCCATCACACATGCCAGGACGTGGCAGTCCGCAGACTTACAAGAAGGAATCACTCAGGGGGACCAAGGAGAATACCAAATCCTTTTGACAATCAGAGGAAATGGTGGAAGAATCAGCAACATATGTCAGTAAGAGGATCAGTCCACAGAAACGAAGGTACATGGGGTCGTGACAAGATTACACCCTTCCCCAGCTGCCATTCAGCTTCTGCTCATCGAGATCTGGCTCTCACAACGGCGAATCACAACTCTCTCTGTCAGTGAAGGCAATACATGGTCAATGGCCGCATGGTACACCAGACACAACGAGGTGGACAAAGGGGCCATTCACCCGGAATTGAGCGACGTTTGGACACAAATGCGGACTGTTGAGATCTCCCTGTGTGAGTCGCAAAGTGTGAGTTGCCACATACCAGTGCGGTTGAAGAAACGGAGCCTCCTATCAGTGCCACCCCTGTGGATGGGGATGGCCTGTCCGTACAACCAGAATGGCTGCACATACGCCGCCCCCGCCCTCAGGACAGGCCGTCCAAACAGCCGTCCAAGGGCAAAAAGACCCCTAAAAATGGGGGGCCGGGGGTTTTAATGACCAGGGAGTCCCCCACCTTACCTGCCCATCCAAAAAAAAAAAAGGATGGTCCATCCGTACGACCAGAATGGTCGTCCGTACATACCCCCCCCTGCGCCCTTCGGGCAGGCCGTCCGGCAGGGAGGGGACTTTAACGACCGCCGGGGGGGGTTGCCCCTTACCTGTCCATTAAAAAAAAAAAAAAAAGGCAAAAGGAGTTTTCCTTTTTTGGCAGGGCAGTGGGGTGTCCTCCCCCCCCCCAAAAAAAAAGAAATCAATCATTCTCTCTCTCTCCCCCTCTGCACGTGCGCGCATGTGCGCACACACACACACACACACACACACACACACACACACACACACACAGAGAGAGAGAGAGAGGGAGAGAGAGAGAGAGAGAGAGAGAGAGAGAGAGAGAGAGACTTCATCGTGAAAGTATCTGACCTTCTCCGTCAGATGTGTACATTCATGAACATTCATAGCCCTACTTCTGATCTGGATTGTATACATCTGATGGACAAGGTCAGATACTTGTTTTTTTCAAATTTTCACCCCATATGATGTATTGGGGACTACACAGTTCCCTATCACGCAAGCTCTCTTTTCCCTACACGGCCATCCCACCAGTCTCATCTCAACACCGTACTGAGAATCTCAAATATGACACAATAGTAATATATATATCGTCACAAACAGAACTGCCCGGTAAACCGTAGGCAGAGAGAGAGAAGAAGACAACAAACGAGCGGCTGTGACAAACTGTTTCGTCGGAGTTCCACCGACTCGAAAAGTGTGAGTGAGAACGAGTCTGATTGCAATAATATATATATATCGTCACAAACAGAACTGCCCGGTAAACCGTAGGCAGAGAGAGAGAAGAGGGCAACAAACGAGGGGCTGTGACAAACTGTTTCGTCGGAGTTTCACCGACTCATCAGGAGGCCGAACCCTCAACAGTCTGCAGAATCCCCTCACTGATTACACTGTAAATGATAATCTACCTTAACCAAAATCAAAGTAGACTATCACATATATATATATATATAATATTGCAATCAGACTCGTTCTCACTCACGCTTTTCATGCATGTAAGCAGAAACGCAGCAAACTGGCGACATGCGCCCACTCAAAACTCAGAGATATGGCATCCAGATAAGAGTTCACTTTCAAACTGGCTATGGCGGCTCAGCGCCCAAACACCTCACTGTTCACATACACTGGATCACCCTGGATATCCCACACACGTCACTCTGAACACTCGCACACACATACACACTTCACACTAAACTACAGCTATGGCAGCTATGGCTGCCTCTACCCTATCGCTATGCTACGCTCCTTCTCTCTCGCCCACCAGCTCCGGGCTCTCTGCAGACCTCCTTGCACAAGTCGCTGTGGCAGCGCTTCCGCATGGCTCACGCAGGAATGAATAAAAGGCTGGGCGCTGCCTCTTGATTTATACTTCTGAAACTTGGTGGTCTGCCCCTTTCCATCAGCCCATGGTGCTCACAGTCCCTCGTGGTACTTGCTGGACCGGACTGGGACTGACCGGACCTTACCGCTGACTGACTGTGGACTCACTGCTAACCTACCGTAGTCGTACTGCGATTGGACTGCAGTTTAGTCCACCACTTGACTCACCACTTGCCCACTTGCTGACCTTGGTGATCTCGGGAACGGTGCGGTCTACTACGACGGTTGTGTCCTTGTCCCTTAGTCGAATGGTGATCGGGGAGTCATAACCAGTGGCTCCCTTAGGTCTGATTCCAGGTGCGAGTGCCTCTCACTGTTGCCTCTCAAATTGTCGCATGAAGTCCTCTTGATGTGTCTCGCCACCACAAGCTCACTCTCAATGAACCTGGTCAGGTTCAGTGTCCACCCAACACGACCTAACCAGGTGGGGGCAGCTTCCCTAATCCACACTGCCCCACTTCCCACTTCGGACCAACCCTAATCCTAAGTGGTCAGCGCTAACCACTTAGGTTAGGGTTAGGGTGGATAAGTCAACTCTCACCAGCAAGTAGAATCCACTCTGATACCAATGTTATGATCCTGGCCGATTTCAAAGTGCACATTCATCAGAAAGTACAATGCCATCCAATTGCAAAACGAAATGAATGAACTTGAGACGAGAGAGTGGGAAAGAAGAAGAAGAAGAAAGAAAGAAAGAAGAAGAAGATGATGTACACCAGCATAGATCAATGATAATGCTCTTCTTCGTCATCAACCACACTCCTCCTCCTTATCTCCTCCCCTCTTATTCAATATAATAAATAATAATAATAATAATATCGAATGGCTGAACCAGAATCAATGTCCGAATCCCTCTTCTACTGCAGGTATCACATGAGGTCCACCATAGCCATGGCACCCTGCTGCTTCCTCTTCTCGAAGGCCTAGGCTATGGCGGAACAACAACCCTAATCCCACAATAATTCAAAATCATTTCGGAAGGTTCATAGTTTACAGTGGAAAACATGAACTTGACGGTAGCAAGAAGAGCTCAGAGCCTCAAGACTTATCACCCTCTTCGCCCCGAACCCCGAAGAAGCTGAACACCTTTCGTCTTTTCAACGTCGATCCACAATCTGCAACTCATCATCATAGCAGGTGAATGGAATACCCTCCTCATGGATCTCTCCAGAAAGGGCGGCTCTATATGGAATAGCATGCCCAAGTTCTCTCTAATCGACCAGTTGCTCCACCCCTCTAGAAAAGTTCATTCACTGATAAAAAGAAACCATGCTGACCACTCTGCTTTCTCACGCATCGACTTTCTCTCTAATATGAGCATCCTTGCCAGGATCAGTAAAGGAGGCTGACATCACACGGCCGGCCCCATTACCAGGGCTCGACCAAAAACCCATTAGCCTTTTGATAAACTTCAATAACCAAGGGACTGCCTTTTACTGCTTCAACAACCCTGTCCTTACACTATAACGCCTCAAGTAACCCCTCAACAAGGCAGTCCAGTGGATCTGGCAGTCCAAAAAACAACAGAAATGAAACAGCCGCCGACAGTTTCTAGACAGCTCCAGTGACTAGACCAGAATAGTCACCAAGGAATCAAGAGGTTGCCGAGATAGGCACTCACAGAAGAAGGAACAAGAGCTGGCAGTTCAGATGCCAGAGTCCAATCTCATCTCTGATCCTGCTAGTTAACTTCGACTACAGTCTCTTCCAGAATGCAAAGGAGGAATGAACCGCATGATGTGACTGGGAATTAAGCGGACTCCACTCGATGAATCCATGACCACATTCTTTTTTTGCGAAGATAAGATCAGACACAAGAAATAACATGATACTGCACGGCCCTCTACACCATTATCAAGAAGACTGGGCATGAGACGGTCACATTAGGTCATGCTCAGACTTGTTCAAATGTTCGGAACAATCACAGCCGCAAATGTGCAAATCCATCATGGCGGGGATCTGAACCCACGCTCGGATCTTGAAAGAAGTGCAACACCACGGAATAAAAATGAAATTGACAGTGCCGCTACGCCAGGAAAGCCCGTTCCATAGTGCTGCATCAATGGCTACAAGGCTAATAGATGAAAAAAAAGTCAGGAAAACGATAAGTGTCGCTTAGTAGGGCCGGACACATTTCTCATGAAAACAGCATTTCGTGAAGATCCATTGTCAATATTACATATCCCACGTTGCTCATTGAACACAAAATACTGTAAACAGTGTAAAGCAAAAAGAGACTCGGACTGATCTTGGTCAGTGCAGAACTGCCATACCATCAAGTGAGGTTGCTGGGAGGGGGGGGAATTTCCCAACATGTTCACCCGCCCAGCCAACCAGGTGAGCCTGGTAGCCTAGCTTTTCAATTTTTTTGCGCTCTATTGTGCTGGCAGCCTGGCACCAAAAGGCCTTTGCATCAATGTCAGACTAACTTAGACCTAACATTTCGAGCTCTCTTTCACATAACTGGAGTTATTAGAACAGATCGGATCAAGACTCCTGGTGCAAAGTATGCAATCTCAATACCCCGGAATCCCTGAATCACTGCTTTATTGATTGCCCAAAGGCCAGAGCCCTTTGGCAAGCCCTTGAAACCTCGTGGCACAAAATCTCGAACTCTCCTCTACTAATCAACCCGGCCACACTATTCCTCGATCACAAACAAACACCCCCACTCACAAGCTTCGAATCCTTCCTTGCCTCCCAAATCAAGAAAAGCACCTTATGGGCCATATGGAAAAACAGATGCGATAATACCTTTGAAGACCGACTCACCACCACAGAA